CCACACATTTCCAGTCCTCGACTCTGCACATGACACGATGAGTATGTTGTGTTCCAGGTCGGCTATGACGCACATCCGCGGATATAGAAAAAACGCAATGGGAAGGGATATGAGGGAATGAAAAGATGTCAGATATGGCGCGAGCGCACCTAGCTTGCCTCCTTCCCTTCTCCTCCCCTCCGTATCAAACGCCGTGCCTTGTGCACGTTGGGGCGTGTTAGGATCCGGGCTGGCATGAGAACGGAAAGAGCGTTCCAGGAAGTAGTCCATGAGGGTTCCCACCACCCTAGCCTTGGCGTTCAGAGCTCTTTACGTCTTCGTTCGCACTGGGCGCCTTGGCGTCCACGGTTTTTCACGTCATCGGGAGCTCTTGGGAGCCTTGGCGTTCAACATTTCTTACGCCACCGCCTAGCCTAGACATGTTTTCCACCATCAGCAGTGCAGCTCTTGGAAGCCTTGGCGTCAAAGCTGTGTCCGTTAGGCCCTCCCGCGCTGAGCGATCGCTGGCGCCGCGACAAAAAAGTGCGTGCTCGCGAGATAACCAGGCAGCCTCAAGCGTCAACTGAACAAGGCACACATTGAACGAGCTGCACTTGGACGGTACGGAGACGCGAGCTCGGGCACGGGCAACCTCCAAGCACGCGGGCCCGAGAGAAACGATACGAGGCGGTCTTCAGCATCTGAGCCCGCGACACCGTGGGTGACATGATATTGACGGGCGACGTGGGTTCATCCAGCGTGCCATGGCTGCATGGCTTCCGAGACACCATGCCGAAAGGGGGGTGGCGTCTGCGTCGACTCTGAGCGTGGCGGCAAGGCCGCCGAGGCGGAGTCTTGATCCGAAGCCGTCTTGCACCTCCTGCTCCTGGGGCGTCTCTGCGATCGACGGCAACGTTCCTGCAGAAAGGCAACCCGATGACGAAGGCGCTGCTCATCCTCCTCGGCGTCGCTGGCAACTTCGGCGGCACCAGCGAGGAGAAGTACGCTGGTCCCGCGCTCGAGAATGCGAAGCGGGGATTGATCCATGACCCCCCCACTGGGTGATCGATCTTCGGGGACCTTGGAAGGCGGCGCATATGGATACATGATATGTACGTTGCCCTCAGAGCCCGAATATATCCAAATCCATCGCCTGCCGAGGTCCCCGAAGATCGATGCCCCAGGCGTTTAGGATTAAACAACCATTGGGCCAGATTAAGCCGGAGCAGGCCCTGGATCAAGTTGGATCCACCGCACTTGGCGGGATCAAACCGAATGGAGTGGGAGGTACGTCGAATAAAGCGGGATATTGAGCAAGTTTTCAGCCATGCAGGGGAATACCATCACCGATTCAGAAATTGACTTCCAAGGAGTTGCATCCCAGAGGCGGTGGTTGTGGGTAGATCCCCGCCTCGGAGAGAAGGGCCCCCCTCCTTCGCCTCCACCGCGTGCGGCGAGCACGCGAACGGGCGCGCCCTTCTGGCGTGCACTGCCCCGCGGGACTGGAGCCAGGCGGCAACCAGCGCGCTCAGGACGCGGAGCTCCGGGCCGCCCGCCTGCGGGCCGCGGCCGCTCTTAGTCCACCCCGGGCATCGCCTCCAGCCCCGCGTGAGCCGCCGGGCCAAGCAGCAGCAGACCTCGTGGCTCTCCCGACTCGCTGTCGAGGCCGCAGATGGCGGCCCAGGCCAAGCCCACCGGGGCCCACACGGGCTCGGTGTCGGGCCACACGTCGTAAATTAGCAGGCTGTCCGTGGGCGCGTGGTACGCCCCCAGCGGCGACAGGTGCCCGTTGAAGGGCACCTGGCCCAGTGTACTCATGTGGTAGTTCAAGATGGCCACGGCCCCTGGCGTCGCCAGGGCCTCCATCGCGGCGGCGCGCAGGTCGTCGGCGCACAGCATGCCGCCCGGGCCACTGGGCGAACTCTCAGGGCCGCCGTTGGTGCCGCCCACGAGGGGCTGCAACGTCCGCACCCCCCGCCGCAGCCCCAGACACCTCCGGGCCAGCGCCGCAGCCTGCGCCAGAGTCATGCCCGAACTCCTCACCTGCGCCTCCTCTGGCGCACCGTCCGGCCCCGAGCCGCTGCGAGCGCCAGCCGCTGCGATGGAGAGCACGTCGTCCTCGTCAACGATGGCGCCGCCCTCCGAGAGGGCTATGGCCAGTGAGCACAGGCCGCAGCACGTGCGACCCCGCTGTACCCGCCAAGCGTGGGCCACAGCCCGCTGCGCGGCGCTTCTCCTGCCGCAGTCGCCCACTGCACCCTCCAGGCACTCCAGCCAGCGCTGGCCGCCCTCCTCGCACGCCAGGGGCACGAGCTCGGCCGCCGCGGCCATACTGCAGGGGGGGCCGCGCCGGAGCCGGCGCCTTGAGCCAGACCGTCTACGGAGCGACCTGGCCTGCCCGCTCACGCACCCGCGTGTCGTCTCGGATGCAGCGCTGACGAGTCTCCGTGCGTGCGTGCTTGCAGCCTGCGGCGGGAGGGCAGGACGACCTGCGCACGCGCGCCAATGAAGAGAAAGAACGCCACCTCCTCCCTCTGACCGCTCCATGGCCAGCGACCCGTCCCCCGCCCAGGCCTACGACGGCTCCACCTCGACCAGCTGCTGGCTGATTCAACGGTCGCGACCCCTGGGGCCGGTGTCTTGTCCCGAGCCCGCCAGAAGCGGCCCCCCGAGACAGGTCTCGGGAGGCCGCGGCGCGACCATACCATTGGATTGGATGGCGCCAGGACCCGGGGAAGGGGCCTCCCCGGAGGCCGAACACGACACGATACCTCCCAAACTCCTTTACCCTGAGGACCCCCTCTCGACACGGTAGTGGGCGCGCTTGTGGGCTCTCACCACCCGCGAGAGGCTGCATCAAGGGGCCCTGGTCGCATCCGCCTGGCGCCCGCGGGTGGACGGGACGCTGCTGTCCTCCGCCCCCCACCGAGGTGGCGACATCCGAAACCCTACCCCCGCCAACCGTCGATTGTCCTGAATCAGTGGGAGGCCGGGGGTCGGGCTCGGATGTCGCAGCGTGTTCGATGACTCCCGCGACGCCCGTCGAGCTGCCTGAGCCGCTCATCGGCCAGGGTCTGGCTCGGATTTCGCCGGAGACCACCCCCGCGTGCGAGGAGGAAGTCTCGCTGGCACCGAGGTCGGCCCGCCAGCGGCTGGGCGCACCGATCGTGCATGCGGGGGGGGGGGGGGGAAGTGGGAAGGTGGGGGGGGGTCCCCTGTTGGGGCCCTGGAGGTTCCCCGTGCTCTTTTCATCTGGGATGCCTTCAGGAGCACCTCTCGCGTACCCAAATCGCACACCCGAAGGCCGCGCGCGACGGCGGGGTGGGTGAAGGAGGACGGCGGGGTGGGGGAGAGCAGCGGCCACGGACGACGGCGCGGCGGGTGGAGGAGCATCACCCGCCCCAGTCCGTTAAGATAGAGGCTGTGGCGCTGAGGATCTCCTCCGCGAGCGAAGGGCGAAGGAGCCGCACCCGCCCCAGCCGTCAGGATAGAGATTGTGGCGCTGAGGATCTCCGCAAAGAGTGAGGGGTGAATGAGCCTCACCCACCAAGTCCGTCAAGCGTGAGGCTGTGGCGATGAAGGATATTCTCCGCGAGCCGACCCCGTCCTTCGTCAGCAATTCTACCTGAGCGAGAACAGCGATAGATGAAGGAAAGAAAAAGAGATACGGTGGGGGCGTTCGCTCAGGAATGCTTCGGGAATGCTTCAGACCCTGGAGGATTCCTTCCCTGATGAGGGCGGCAATGATATACATGGCCAATCCACGATTGGAGCTCCACCGGCTTCCAGACCCTGGATTCCTCATCCGATGGCTCCTTAGACAACGCCCTCGCTATAGGGTGCACCTTCAGTCTGCAGCGATGCCAGACGCGAGCGCGACTGTAGAGCCGACGGGCTGTGCGCCGGACACTGGCCGCACTGGAGCGGGTGGACGACGACGACGACCACGACGACGTCGACGACGACGACGACGACGACCACGACGACGCCGTAGGGCACGCACACCGAAGACGACCGCGCAGAGGGGCCTGGCAGGAGCGGGGCGCTGCGCCCGCGGCCTCTCTGGTCCTGCATCCGCCCGCGCCCGCGGGTGGGCGCTGCCCCCTTCGGTCGGAAGTGGAAGTAGACTGGGCCTGGAGGGCGAGGACGAGGACAAGGACGAGGACGACGACGACGCACAGGGTTCGCCAGAACTCAGGCTTGCCGACTCTCCACCACGCTACGCCCTGATCGCGCATGATTGCGGCTCCGTTCGTTTGTTCTTCGCTCGTTCGTCCAACCCGAGAGGCTACGGGCGCTCGTGGCACCTGCCGCGGTGGATGAAGTAGGAAGACGTTGGAAATAAATTGGGCTTCCGCCCCCCCCCCACCCCCACTGAAGAGGAAGGACAAGGAAACAGAGCACTCGATGATTGAAGCAGGAAGGCGCCTGATGCAGATCGGGATCTGGAAATCCAGAAATACTTTCAACGACCGACGGGTAAAGGGGGAAAAGGGGGCACATTGGCCTGAGCGACGAAACGAAACAGGTCTTACGCGAGATGACATAGTTACCTTACGCGGTGGCTTACGCGCGCCGCCATCGTGGCACGCCGCATGAGAGAAGAGGGCGCTCACGCGCGAGTCTACGCGGGAAACTTGCGCACGAATGTCGGCGCAGTCGAACCAGTTTTTGCTGCGCCGCGAGTCGGCGACACTTCGCCGATGAATCGGCGATGGGCCTTAGATTGCCGAAGCTGCAAGCTCATGGGCCCCGAGGAATGGGCGACTGGCGGTCGACGCTTCCACCCCCCCGGGAGCTGACCCCCCCGCACCAACCGTTGCCCCTTGGCTTTTCGGTCATGCCGCGGCTCTACGGCGGCCACCCCCAGAACGCTCTCGGCGAGGCGCAGCTGCCGGAAGGCAGGTCCACCGCCGAAGCGCGACGAACGCGCCCGAAAGCCTTGAGCCTCGGCCCCCCCCCTCAAGCCCCTGCGCCTGCACCCGCCTGCCGTCGCCCCTCCCTCTTGCTCTCTTCTTTTGTTTTGCTTTCGGGCACTGGCCGCAGGTCGGCATCAGCCACGGTCTGCGACGCTCGACTGCGCGCGGCCCTGCTGGGCGGAGCGGCCCGACGGTCGGGTTGGCGGTGGCGGGGAGGTGCAGTGGACACACGCACGAGAAGGGAACCTTGCCATCATAGAAACAGGCATTGCTCTACCATAAGGGCTGCTGAATAAGGAACGGAAGGGCTTTTCTGGCCACGGCGAGCTTCGGAGTCGAATACTCCCCGATCTGGATCGACAGGGGGGACCGAAACCCGCAGCCCCACCTGTGCCCAAGGCGGTGTCTTGGCTGCTATAATTTCTTTCTGGCCTGGTTGGGTCTTCAGCCCGGGGGAAGCAAGCAGAGCGGCTCAGCAAAGGAAACTCCTTTAGTGACTTCTGCCCTCTCCTCTTGCGCGTTAATGTCCGCGCCTCTCCCTGACCCCCATCTCTCCAACGCCAGGTGGAAAGAAGGGGGAGGGAGGAGGGGGAGGACGACGACTGCTGTCAAATCTCAACTACTAAAAGTATATTGCTGGACACCCTACATGCGCTCTAGAGCCCCCGTACTTGGGCAATAAGCTCAAACCCTGCGGCGAAAGATGCCCACCACGGCCCACCAGCATGAATATTGATGGTGCGGCAATGGAGAGGACGTGGGCGGGCAAAATATTCGAACCCCCAAACCACCACCCATCCTAACGTCAAGATTGATTTCGGGGGAGGGGGGAGGGGTTGATGAGCATCCCCCTCGAGTGCGTGAGGGTTCGAATATTTTGGCTATGTCCTGTCATTGGCAATGGTTCGTCTTCAACTGCAACATGTTCAGAGCGGCCCCCGGGAATCTACGATTCCGCGACTGTTGAGCTGCATCCCCTCACCCGCCCTCCGTCCGCCCCTTCGCCCCCGTCCCCCACGCACCTTCGCCTCATGGACCCAGACTTTCGCGGCGGTTAGTCGCTTCCCTGGTCCGTCCAGGTCCGTCCCTCATCCTGCGGCTGCCCCCCCGCAGGAGGCGCCCGGATCCACCCACTGTGATCCCAGGCTCTTGCGGCGGCCAGCCGCCTTCCTGGACCGTCCAGCCCGTCCCTCCTCCTGCGGCTGTCCCCCCGCAGGAGGTGCCCGGGGGCACCCCCTGTCTGTACTAGTTCTGCGGCTGTTAGCTGCGTCCGCCGCCCACAGTGCGACCGCCTCGGCGCCCCCCCCGGGGCGCTGGGGCCGGTGCCAGCAGATACCAGGCCGTCCCTTTCCCTGCGGCTGTCCCCCCGCAAGAGGTGGCCGGGTCCTCCCACAGTG